GGGGGGGGTAGATATGTCTTTTTTTTGCTGTTATCTCTCTTTCTTACACTCTCTCTATTTCTCTCCCCCGTCCCTCATCCTGCGCTGCCCCTCCTTTGTTCCTCTCTCCCTCCCTCGTCTTGCCATTTCTCATCATAACTGGAGAAAATGTTTCCTCTGAGGCGTTGGCTAAGTGCCAGAATTAAAATTCACTCTTGGTTTCTCTCACTTTTCCCCTTTCCTTTTTCTCTCTCACTGTCTCCTTTCATCACAAGATCATTTTTATTTATATCTTTTCTTATTTCTGGAAGTATTTTTCCTCTCCACCGTGCTGCAGCGGAACACACATTGATTGATATCCAGTGTAAACATTTACTGTGATGATTTCTCGATCAATGCATAAGTAAATAAAGGTTTAGCTAACCATCGATTGGCCACATTGATTTGTGTAATATCGTTTTAGAAATGGCTGGAAGCTCATTATCACAGACATTGGGAAGGACAAATTGGAGCAGCTAATATGCATTGTTCATACTAGCGTAACTTCATATCTACAGCAACAAGGAAAGTCTTTTTCTGACGCTGCTGCATTCACGCCTGGGCAGATCTGGTTTTTTGTCCGTCTTGGCGTAATTCGTCCTTGAGATCTTTTCTAACTCGCTAAGGGAGTGTTCCCTGTTTTGATCACATAAAATAACAGCTTCAGTCCGACTCTGCTGATTATGATTTATTCAAAGAAGGGGGTTGGAGTTTTCTCCAAAAGATCCATTCCGCTGCTGTTATTGTAGAAACAAAAGCTCTGAAGATATAAAAGGATGTGTTGGCATGTTCTCTAACTCACTCAATGTGATCACACCATTCTGTCTGAAATGCATATTTGATCATTCAGTTAAGAAAATGTGCCATCACACTTTTAAAATGTTCTATTTATAACACTTTCCATACATGTTTCTTATTTATTTCCAGCCACTAATCTCTGGCTCTGGCTCCATGTTGAATCACAATCTCTTTAACCCCTTACAATCTGGATTACAGCCAGAAGTTAGAGTCCCTATAGGCTGTATCAATGTCTTTATTAAGGGTCATGCTTTTTCAATCCAGACTGAAGGCTGTGCTAGAAGCTGCCTCTATGCTACCAGATGTATTATACACTTGACTTTATGGATGATGGATTATTTATAATTATTGCCTTTTTTTCGAAGAAATTGTACCTCTCTTAGCTTGCTTCCACTTAATTTAATACTGACAATAAATATATTGCTGAGAGGACTTTGCTGGTGCACTTCTACTTACTGCTAGAACACACAGTGTATAATATTAAAGAGGCCCTATTGTACATTTCTGGGTCTTAATTCCCTATAGTGTTTCAGATATGTGTTTGTGCATCTGAATGGTTTGCAAAGGCTATGATCCTTAAGTTCCCTCCAGAGGGAGTTACCCCCGACCCAGAAATGCCGCGATTGTACTTGGAGTTGACCAATCACAACAGAGCCGGCCAGCTAACCAATCGGAGCAGACTAGGCTCTGGTTTCAGACAGAGGGTGAAAAGAGGTGCTGCAGCACAGGCAGTATGAGGAAAATTAAGAGCTTTTTGAACATTAAAGCATATAAACATGTTAATGTAGAGGCACAAAACACAAACGATAAGCTGAAACAGATCAAAAATATAGCCCCTTTAAAATACAAGTTGAGCTATCTGAATCAATGTGTTTTCTTTGACCTGTTACTTGTCTGTAAAAAGCAAGTTGGATGTCATTAATTATGCCTACCGGCACACTGTGACCACATCATTGTGAATGCCCAAATGCAAAGGAGAGTGTGAGGAAACATTTGCATGATTGCAGAGACCTGATTTCATAAATAAAGCACATTTACATGATGTGTTCAATAATGAACACGGTGTAGTTTAAAAAATAAAATAACAAAAAGGATTTTGGAACTTATTGTACTTGCACTGTAATTGTGTTCTGTAATTGTTCTTGCATTACTTAAGGTAATGTATTTATTATTTTCCATTAATTAAGTCCTAACAAAAGTAAAAATATGAGGAGTTAATTTGCAAAAACAGAAACAACATTTCTACAACTACTTATATTGATAGTTCCTTGATTTCACATTATTATAAGATTGGTTTGGGAAAATGTAAAAATTGGCCCCAACCAGGGTGTCATTTCCATTTCCTGGATTGCATTAAGAACAGCTACATAATTAAGGGAAATAAATAAATGAAGATCAACAACAACAAATATCCTTTATAGGTAACTAAACTATATCCCAAGACACCACAGTAACATGCTCATTTGGCAATCTCTACCATATCGTAAATACTCAAATTAGAAGTGGATGGAAATACACTGACAGAAGTTGAGCTGCTGACAATCATGTGCCTATAACTGTTCGTTGTCACATGTTAACTCACGGAAGATCAATCACCTCTTTTTTCTGAAGCCCCTCATTCCCTCTTCTGTTTGCATTCCACATGTGTCAGTCTGCTGACAGTCTGAAGCCTGCAGTGTGCCCAGATTTATTTAAAGTATTTTGAAACTTGACATGTTTAATTAGTCTTACTAGAAGTGAATCCGAGGCAGACACGCCACTTCTCAAACTAAAATGCTAGTCCTTGCTGGAGTCTGATTGCCTTCTTCTCTTCCTCAGGGCTCAGATGACTGCCTGGTGAAGATCTGGGGAACAGATGACGGGCGTCTGCTGGCCACGTTGCGCGGACACGCCGCTGAGATCTCAGACATGGCCGTGAGCTACGAGAACACCATGATCGCTGCCGGGTCATGTGACAAGACCATCAGGGTGTGGTGCTTACAGACCTGCGCCCCTCTAGCCGTTCTGGAGGGACATGCAGCCTCCATCACCTCTCTGCAGGTACGAGGACACTCAGCACTTCATGTTTGTGCGTGTGTATTTATTTAGCTGAAAAGAAAATTTAAAAGCCACTTATAATATTTTTGTATTCCTGCCACCCTTTATGTCTGTCTTTAACAAACTGCTCAGTTTAGACTAAAGTAGTGCCCTAGCTGTTGTTATTTTAGGAATTATGCCTGCAGCGAGAAAAGCCACTAAAACAATATTTAGATCATGACAAACTGAAATTCTGCTGCAGTTAGTTTGAAATGTAAAACTCACTCTTTTAGTGAGTTACCAGGAGACAGCGTTTGGTACTCACCCCACACGAAGCGTGGTCCTCCTCACTGTCTCCTTCACTGTCCTCTATTTACACTTCTTGCATGCTAGATGATGAAGATGATGAGGATGCACCTCCCTGTCTCTTTTTAAGCCTCCGATTTGCTTTCTCCAAAACCTGTTGCCAAAACTGTGAAGTCTTTGCATTTCCTGAGGCCAAGTTGAAGGATCAAATACTAAGAAATTATCACGACTTGGAGTCATATCTGATTTCAGATGTGGGAAGTTACTAAGTACACTTATTCAAGTACTGTACTTAAGTACAATTTTGAGATATTTGTACTTTACTTGACTTTGATGCTACTTTGTTCTTCTACTCCACTACAGTTCAGAGGTAAATTGTGTACTTTTACTCTATTGCATACCTTTAGTTACTTTACAGATGTGGATGAATGATGTGAAATATAATCAAGTCTTAAATCAGACTTGAGTTCCACCTGGAGTAAATTCACAAGCTACCCTGCAGAATACAAAGTCATTCAAACTAGCTGCACCAACAAAAAGGTTCAAACTATAACGGAGTCAAGTACAGGTGTGATAGAACTATTTAAAAAAGCATACGATTCAAAAACAGATAGCAAAGTTATTTCATGTATAAAGGGCTGTTGAATCTTAAAATACACTCAACCATATATGTGAAATCCAAGTGGGAGAAGGAAGGAGGGGTTATCATATCTGAGGAGGAATGGACAACAATATGGAAATATCATTGGGAATGTACCAGTTCACATAACTGGAGGGAGTTTGGTTGGAAAAGCCTGATAAGATCTGTTGTAACTCTCAGAAGTCTCACTATGGTGCTAACTCCCCAGACTGCATGTGGAAATTCAAATGCAAATCATTATCACGTTTTCTGGGCCTGCCCTGTTATTGAGGTCTTTTGGAGAGACATACATAAAGCCTTTCAAATGTCATGTGCCCATGGAGAGTAAGACTTTGTTCTTTGGACTCATACCTCAAGAATGGACAAAAAAAAACAAATCTTTATTAAATCTGTTGCTGGTGGCGAGTAAAAAAGCTCTTACAAAGAAGTGGTTATCACCAGATAGCCCAACTTTAAACACATGGATGGATATTACAATGGACATTTACAAAATGGAGAGGATAACATCATCTGTCAATCACAAACTGGAACTATTTGTGTCACGAT